CCGGAATCCTCAACCACAGAGGAACTGGCTATCTTACCTCTAACTGCCGGAACACAACAATGCTGTTAACATTGTTGTTATGGCGACATATGAAGTTACTAAGAATAGACTAGTGATGGAATTTGATTTTATCAATTGTGTGTATGTCACTTCACTTTACCTGTTGTGTACATTAATGTTAGTAATAGACAAATAGTGACTTGGATAGTTCGAGTCTCACTCAACGACTAGGTAACGGCGCGACCCATCATCGTTCTCTGTTTAGAATGTTCGTGCTAACACACCTTTCATTATAAATGTGTGCTTACACACTTAGTACCAACCAGTTATTTAGTCGTAAAGCTTCCATTTAAACAAAACACATGAAGGTCAATTAGAAAGGAGAATTTACTGATTGCAAAATAAGCGTCCAATGGAAAAGTAAAATTGCAAGTTGGTAATCATTTCTGTGTGAACCACAGAAAGAAAGAGATTATTATGACATCAAAAAAGTGGGCACTGAAAACAAAAATAGCATTCAGTCTACTTTCTAAGAGATCATCTTCAACATTGACTTTCTCTATAAAGGTAATTTCCTAGGCTGACACTAAACACTATATACCTACACTAAAAAATAAATGAGTAGCGTCCATAAAGTCTTCCAAACTGGTTTGAACGTTTAAACCTTAAATAGACTTGATGACCGGAAATTCAATATGAACCACGTTCAGAACCGTTTAGTCAATTTCATTTTAGATGTAAAACTGCTTGTGAATACCGTTCTCCTTGTATAGCTGTTTGATCGGTCACGTTGCAGACATTATAAAATCATGAATCAACTTCACACTTCACCAGATAGGTCCCGCATAAGATCAAAATGTCATGTTACACTTATTTTGAAAATAAAAGTATTTGGTTACAGATTCAATCCACTTACATTCCAAGTGTGTCTCAAGATACATTTTAACACGCTAGTCACGAAACCGTAGATGAACGTGCTATTCATCTTGACGAACGAAGAAAGCTTTTTCGCAATGCAAAACCAGTAACGTTACCTACTCCAGTTAACGGAACAGTGCCTCTACCATGAGTTTACCTACCGAGCATCTCGCTATCGAGGGCGTAAAAAAATGTATGGCATATTGTACAGCGCCTCTAGCGGTTAGTAGCTGAACCACAGCAAAACTAAAAACACTACCATGAGTTCATCTCAAATCGTTAGGTAAAAAACCTATCTAAATGAATACGATAGCGACTAAAGTTTTTATTAAGTTTCATACAAATAACATACCATGAGTTGCAATTTTCAAAGATGTCATCGAAAAATACCTTAGCTGTCACAGTAACGTAACTCACTGGCTTATTGACGTGTGAAANACACGTAAATTTTGCAGAGTTATTTTTGACATTTTTGTTATTTCCTACTCTATCTTTTCTATATAGTTAGAAAGGAGCGGCATTCGTTCTTTCATTCATCCATTCATAGAGTGTGAAGTTGGATACGTTAACATGTTGACCAACATGACATCACAAAACCATCGAATTATCGCTGGCGAGTAAAGTATACGGTAATTGAACTCATGGTATGATTTTAATGCAAACTTCATCGATCCACGTTTAAACTCTATCGACTGTAGTATACGAATACAAGTTTTCGATGGCAACTCATGGTAGAGGCACTGTTACACTGACAATTGAAAGTAATTAAATGTTTATCTATGACGTAACGTCTAGAACCCGGCTAGACAGTGTAACGTGGGAACTGGTGTCCATCGCCGTGGGAACATGACAGCGGTGATTTAAAGAGCGATCGCTGGAAGTAACGATACTATCACATTATGCATTAGAGTGTAATCGACTGACCCCTCAATTAGTAAAGTCTGAGTACTCAATTAGTAAAAAGTCTAGCACATAAACTAGACTTGAACAACGGATGTTGTTGCGCAACTTGGATGAGCCTGGGTCTACAACAAGGTCCTACTAATTAGCTTAAAGCAAAAATTTTTAAAAACAAAGTAAAACAATGTTTAGTTCCACCTCTAAAAGTTCATTGTCGCTTAAGGTTATGTAATGGAAATGGATATAATCTAATTTAATCAACTGATCAGTTCCATTTTCTAGCAATTTGTCATTGTTTGCGGTTCGTTGGTTTATTACTCACGTTCAAACAAATGGTTAGCTGTTTGATAGTGTTTCACGCGGATCTGATTATTCAATGCATTCAACGTTAATAGATTACATATTTTGACCATATTGCACAAAAATACTTGTTTCTGGCCAGCACGTGAGGAGTGTAGGTCAATTCAAGCATTTGCCTCTGATAGATTTGAGAAGGTCGTTGCTCCTACAAAATACTAAATGACCTGATAATGTATTGATGATGCACCATAAGTACTTATATAAGACGAACCAATAACAAATCTGACTGAAACCTATATAAATTATAAGACCAACCAATATTACAAAGTGGACTGAACCTCGAATGCTGTACTGAACCTGATATCGTATCAACTTTACGTCGATTCAGACAAAACACTATCGTCTCGCGGAACCCAGACTGGGCGCATTCTACTCGTATAAAAAAAGCTCAACCGTCAGAGTTCAGTGACACACTAATTATGCGAGAACGTCTGGCTGCACTTCCTCGCCGAACGAGACAAACAACGCATGTTGTGCCATGATTATGACACAGACACGCTTACTGATTTTCCTTACTGATAACTCGATTAGTGACTGCGAAAACGGAAACAAAATAAAAATAAAAACACCTCATCTAAAGAAATAGAAGTCATTGAGCATCATTCCAAAGTAGGAAAATGCTCACACTGTGTTATGTGAATAGGTGAAATAGGTGAAGGACTGCACTCGGTTAAATCTTTATAAAATCTGTCTTTAAACTTTTGTATCACATTGAAATTAAGCTCATGATAGGTGGAAGACAAAATTTGTGAATTATACGTACGACTTTACAAACCAAAGGAAATAAAAGTGAATAAAAGCTTGTAAAATATAACTATAGAAGGAAAGAAAATATTTTATTTAGCCCAACATAAATTAATACAGTACACAGCTTAAAATACTTGCACATTTGTGGACCAAAATGGCATCCGCTCAGCATTGTGTCCTGTCTTATTATATTGATAAGAATATGGTTAGCAACACGTTATCAAGAACAGTTTCCAATGAACAAAGCTTTACATTAAGTACCATACGATGACAATACAATAACCACACAGTCTTAAGCTCGCATGCCTGTACATTTGTTTCAAACATACTCGCAAACTGCGATAACACTTATGTAACTACACCATAGTAATAGATGGATCACGTTAAGTAACTGCCACCTTTGGCCCGAGGTAAACGCAGGCTGTGGAAATGTAGGCCACGAGAACAATTACTGAGACAAGTGCAGTAACGAGCTTTTATTTACTTACATCAGTCTTTCCCAAAGTGGGCGATAACGCCCCCTTGTGGGCGCTGCAGGCTTAAAGGGGGGCGGTAAGAGACCCAGATAAAAAAAATCGGGACGTTGTGTACAGTCTAATTTTTTAGAAATCAGCAGAAATGTCATCAAATATGGCCAACTGACATAAAAATATTTTTAGTCTGTGAACTAGTGATGCGACAAAACCTCTCGTTAATNGGTACCTAAGGATCCGCTTTGCAGCTCTCCAATGAGTTTCCTGAGGATTCTCTGAAAATTGTGCGAGTTTTGCCGTCGCGTTCGCGATATCTGGTCTAGTCGCTACGCTCAAGAACATAAGTGCCCCTATGAGTTCTCGGAACGGAAAAGACTTTCCTCCTTCATCCTTCTCTTTGCCACTCATAGCTATCTTTCCCATCTCNCCTTTCTAGTCTTAGGCCAAAAAAAATTTTAAGGACTTGGATACAAAATGATATTTATATTCTGTTTCTTACTGGTATAGACTATTTAATAAATAACAAATTACATGCTGTAATGTCTGTCCACCTCAGGCCAAAGGTCCCATACTAAGTGGGCATAACCCTTTACGTTATCTCCAATATTGTCGAAGTTATCGCTGGAAAACTAAGCAAAGTATCGTATATTTTTTATTTAAAATTAATCAGTAATCGGAATAAGTGAATACTTAAAATAATATCGATTANATACAAGATATAGAAAAACTTGACGGTCTCACCTGTAGCAAATTGAATAAGCTTTTTTTGGTTCATAGTAGTCATGTCACTAGGACGCATAGTTTCCGAGGATTAAGCGAAAAACCGAAAAGTGGTACCTTTAAACCCCCCTCTCCCCGCCGGCTCAAGGGCTAAGGGCGGGGACTTTTACTATGTTTACCTCCTAACTAGGCTAAATAAAGTCCCGAGGTCAGAAATTGTGTTCCACGGATTTCTCTCTACACCGTCGTTAAGGCATTCATTGACTGGACTAAAAATAATTTGTTTCAAAGATTGATTTCAAACTTGTATAAACGTGAAAATAAAGTTGGTTTCATGGGCTTGTTAAAAAGTGTGTATGATATTATGAACACGTAAGTGATTATGGTGTAATTGTGTATGAAAGTGTTTGTTTACATCTCTGCTGGATTCTAAAAAATCAAGGTATAGAGGCTTGGGAGGCGTCATTTACTAGGAGGACTCTTAGACACCGACTGAGCACTCGACACTCGACTACAAATGGGGGCGCTAAAAAGAATTTATTCTCAAAGTAGGCAGTAGACAAAATAAGTTTGGGAACCGCTGACTTACATTGACGTTGTTTACCACTTTTACAATAACATGACTCTATATAAAAACAAAAATTAAAAATGTAATACCGATTTTAAAAATATTGTTTCCACTCCACTCAATTATATACATATTTAAGACCTAATGTACACTGTGAAATGCAATAAAGATTTGAGTATTGAATAGCTACTTGCTGGCCGCAATTGCCGCAAAGAAACTTTTTCTTCTTTCAGCCGAGTTCGCTAAAAAAAAGAATTGACATTATGTTGGCGCGAAAGTTTATTTTTTATTTTAATATTTTTCTTTTGTTTCAGTGGATACGAAGGCCAGCACACTTGCATCACCTACGATGCCGTTAATCAAGCTTATCTTGAAGCCAGGAACAGAATCGGTTAGTATTAAATTAATGTAAAACTTAAGTCATTAAAATGTTAATATTATGAGTTATTAAATCGATCTAATTAAAATAGCAATAAGACTATAAATAACTTTAAGGAAGTTTCTAACTAATTTCATCAAACTTTCTTTCTCATTTACTTAATTAATACGAGTATTTCAGTACGAATTTAATGTTCTACATTTACAGCTACGAGCACAGCACAACAGCTCTTCTTCTTTCATTGTAATAAACCGAAGGTCTTTAAAAAGCAATTCAGTTATTCTCGTATCATGCTTTCTGATGCGTAACATCAATATTTCTTTTCGAACAATGCATTGATGACAGCCATGTCTAATCCAAACTAATGTGCAATTGATTTACAAAGGTTATCTCCAGAATACGCGTAATACATACTGTAACTTTATTATTAAGTAGTTAGCATTCGACTGTTTTTTTTAACCCCTCGTTGTAAGCTCTAAATATGTTACGAGTGGGTTCACCACAACCGTTCAGCGTTGTTAAAAATCACAAGTAAATCACTAGACTGCCTGGGCAACCCTAAATTGCCTAATGTGGTAATGTATGCGACTGTTACGAACGGCCTCTTTTGATAGTTTATGGTTTTATATTTTTATATTTTTCTATATGTCACTTGTCATCTGTCTGTCTCTTCTTTATCCTGTATTCCTGTATCTTCCTTTATTCCTCTTTTTATTATATCGCTTTCCCTTCCTTGAGCCTGAGTATCATTTTTATCCCTCTTCTATCCCAATTCCTAACATTTTACGGCGCCTTCAAATCAGGCATCGTCTACCAGCAGGTTTGCCTCTCCGGGCGCGCCTATTTCTGCGTGCCCAGGTAAATCTGCCCTTGCTAACGTGCCTATTTCAGGACAACCTGGAGCTGCCACCAGGGATGCGCCTACCTCTGAGCATCCCGGCCGTTCCGTTTCTATGGTTGCCGCGCCCCTTGACTCAACCCTCCTGTTCGCCGGTCCCAGTGTCCCGCAGGAACACGTGTTGCCTGTCCGCACTTTATCTGAACGGCCCATAAACAAATCGTTGTGCACCACAGCCATCGGTTCTTCGCCATCTGTAAATAATCATCCATCACAATCTGTAATTAATAAACCAAATTGTAATTATTGTCAACAACAACATTTGATTGACAACTGTCATAAATTTCGTCATCTAGACGTTATGTCAAAATTGAATTGGGTCCGTGACCAAAAAGATTGCACTCGGTGTTTGAAAAAAGGTTTACAAAGTTATAAGTCGTGTAATCCAAATACTTTATGTCAAGTCTCCGGTTGCAAATACAAACATCGACATCGTGAAAAATTACGCGCAGTCGACGTCTCTTGTACTCCTTCCAGTCTTAATTCTCCTCCATTATCTGGCCCAGGTCTGCTATCTTCGTACGATGATTTAATTTTCCGAGTTCGAGAGGATAGAGATTCCTGTTCAATTACCATCAGGAGGGTTAAGATTGGATCCCAGGGCAAGAAGGCGCGACACTTCCCATGCCGTGATCTTTCCTATTTGCCGTTTCGATCATCTTTAGTGCTCTATGAGGTGCAAATGCGAGCGCATTTTAAAGACATTTGGGTTTCGATTATTCCTGAAGCAACCGCTCTTGTGCCTTCTGAGCTCAAGTTTGTAGATAGAAGTAATCTTCAGCAAAGCGTACAAGCTTTTGGTTTTATCCGGTATACCATACCTGATCAGTAGGATTTCACTATTTCTTTTTTCAATATTTCTCTTTGGTTACTAAGTTAAACTAACTCATTATCCCACTTTCAATTATTATTTCGTGTATATGATATGCCCCACTAAGTACACTCAATTCCATTAATATTAGAAACATTGTTATTTTTTAATTTAGAAAGACATAACTAATTAGTCTTCATTTTTAGTTCTCACTTTTTTGTTGGAAGTCGAAGAGGTTTCGCCATTAGCAACTTCGGTATTTAAACCACTTATTTCCATTATCTCACCTATGATATTTTTGTGTGTACGGATCCGTTCCGTTTCAGCCAATGGCTGCATTTTTTCGTTTCAATAACCGCGCATCAGTTCATCAGGTGCTTGTAAGGTAGAGCTAATGTGTGTAAGCTTTGCACGCTCCTGGCATTTCAAACTGTGCAATCCTAATTTTAAATTTATTTTTAATCTTTAACTTTGGCTACTCTAGTTTTTTTATTTGTCTTAACTTTTGCAAAGTAAAATTTCGACGTGTGGTTCTGAGTTAATACCAAGATGGTTATTGTGGCTCTCGGTAACATCTAACTACTTTTGAAAATTGGATGGACACTTCTGTCGTCTTGAGTGGAAGTCTTGGGTGGAACACATCGAGCTAGTGGATTGCAGACGTGTCATGACCACCAACGCCTTGCTCACGGCATACCAATATGGTCGTTGATGGGATTATTGGATACTGAAGCTCCATCGGATTTACGGCTCGCCATCTTTAATTTCGTCATATCCAGAAAGGGACCGTTCGTAGCCAGTTGATGCCAATGGTAGCCGCTGCAGCGTTGACACTCCGAAATGGTTGGAGAATACGGCGCCTTCAAGTCGGGCATCACATATCTACAGCTCTGCCTCTCCGGGCGCGCCTATCTCTGCGGGCCCAGGTAGAGCTGCCGCAGGTTTCCCTCTCCGGGCGCGCCTATCTCTGCGTGCCCAGGTAGACCTGCTACTTCAAGTGAACCCGATTTGCAATCTGGAGCTGCCACCGGGGATGCGCCTACCTCTGTGCATCCCGGCCGTTCCTTATCTAAGGTTGCTGCGCCTCTTCCTTCAACTCTGCTGGACGCTGCTTTATTTACGGTTGCCACGCCTCTTCCTTTCTACACGACGCCTCATCTGTTCGCCTGACTGGAAAACTCCCCCTGACCCGAAGCCATCACATTTTGAACCACCACGTCACGTCACAATGTTAGATAAACTTTTAACTCTTTTTGTAGCCCACCTTAAGGCCGGTCGTATCAATCTCTCCCGCTCTGTCTCTCTCTTTTTTCTTGATATTCATATTCTATCATTGTTGAGAGAGAGGGAGAGATGTTACGAACGGCCTCTTTTGATAGTTTATGGTTTTATATTTTTATATTTTACTAATGTCACTTGTCATCTGTCTGTCTCTTCTTTATCCTGTATTCCTGTATCTTCCTTTTATCCTCTTTTATTATATCGCTTTCCCTTCCTTGAGCCTGAGTATCATTTTTACTCCTTTTTATCCCAATTCTTAACAGCGACATTAACGACTAAATAAATAAATAATGATACCTGTTGTTTCAGTTGTGTCGCAGCCCAAAGGCGACTGGAAGCCCGAGGACTTCGCCAGCGTAGGAGAGCTTATGCTCGACATCTCCATCAACTTGGCGAGGACGTAAGTCATATTACATTATTACAAACAAAACTGATCGTAAACAATATATTTTCTGGAGATACATTGAGGTACTTGAAAGCTCTGAGATTCAATGTATTCCATTAATCCCAGGGCACTTAAATTGCAACTTGATGTAAACTGTACGTAAAGACAAAGCCTAGTTCGTTATGGAACTTCCAAGTAATGGATATAGTCCAAACATTTTTGGACCTAACGAGCCCAAATGACTCTACCTAATTCTCTTCTGATTAATTTTGTGACGCTAAAGCTCTAGTTCCTTGTTACACAGAAGTTAGTGTTGGAAACTAGTGATGTGGGTTCCGTTATTTATTTATTACGTGACTATTAAAGTCGGACATTATTATAGTAGTGTACCTATGTATTACTAACGTACAATGTTAGCAAACGTACGTACTACTACGAGTATAAAAGATACAAAACGTATTCTTTTGTTGCGAGGTTAACTAAAAGGAAAATTAAATCGAGTCTAAACAATTTTTATCAGACCAACATAATTAGTTTTATTAATTTTTCATAAGTATTACCTATTACATTTTGTAATTAACTTAACACTTCGTAATTGCACATGTTCTAAATATGTAGTTGCATTGCATTCTCTTTTCAACATTTTCAATGCAATAACAACGAATCCGGATGATTTTGACACTGACCTTACATAAAAATATTAAATTGCATTATTTGTAAATTATTAATGTTAACTTCACTTGCATAAAGAATTATCCAACGCATAAATCAAATAAATCGAGATGTAAATTAAAGTTAATTTTAAAAACAGCTGAACTTTAGCGCAATTAATAAAGACAAAAAAAATAGAACAAAGCAGAACAATGAACTCAACCTCGACTTCATTGGGTTTTATTCATTTATTTATTGACATTTACATCATATACATGGTGAGTCGGTGACCTTGCATATGCGTGCTCTCTTTTACGAACCACTTGATGCTTCGATTATCCGATTCTAAGGCTCAAGGCTGCGGATCGTTCGAGCTTTGTTTCCATTCACGGCCGCATATTCACTCACGACGCGGAACCTGTCACCTACTGTCAAATGGTCATAATGCTACTTCGGTAATGACCATACCTCCTATTCAGGTCTGTCATTCATGGCCCTAAGACACCACGTTAAATTAACTGCCTGCGGTCAAAACACATTCCGGCACGCAGTAAAGAACGTTTAATGCTAAAGCCGCAGCCGTAAACGGACTTGCAAAATATGTCTCTGATTGGTTCCATTTTCAACACACAGGACACGAATGCTCATATTAATTCTTTATGCCCATTCCGGTGACACATTTACTACATTCTTACATGATAATAATAATAAATCGCTCACGAACTCATTATGGCTTAATTTTATGGATTAAGGAAATTCATTTAACTCAAATATTTTTAATTCTTAAGGCAAATTAATACAGTTCCGCCCAATATTACGTGACCACATTCGCCTCTAATCATGATGCGAATCTAAATTGATCTGACACTTATTGTCTGTTCATTTCATAATTTTGCATTGTTTGAGACCTATATAAGTATTATGTGGTCCTTGATCTTACTGCCAACATTTAAATAACTTGTCTGCGGCCCACAGCATGCAAGTAAGAGGACTGTTAAATGTCAGATCGTCTCATTAACAGGAACTACTGAATCACTGGTCACATGCTCGTGAGTCACTACGGAAACCTCATAATATAACAAATGGATCGCTTCAAATGGACATTACGAGCTTAGTTCCTCGTCTTTTGAACCGAAAGGACAAAGTCATTACCATTAGCGATGATCAACGAAAGAAAAGGAACGTAACCTTAACAGATATCTAATTAGACTTTAATACATCAATTGCTGTGTTTCAGTATGCTAATTTGATACTTTTCCGATCGAAGGGCACTTGGAACACGACTGTCCAGAGTTAAGTAATTATACTAATTATGAATTAAATCATTCCAATTAATCTTGTAGGATCAACTCTACATTAAATTGACAGAAATTAATTTAACCTAAATTATTTTATATTACCGTTTACGGATTCAATATTTCATCATTTCCTTCATGCTTTAGTCGCCCACAGCGAGGTCAGGATATTAGACGAGCCAAGCCTTTCGTATCATAACTTCATTACGCTTAATATCAGTTAACTAAGCGCGGTTATCGTTGCGTATCATCTTGAAGGTCAACAGATACATATGAAACTTAATTTTGCTACGTCTGTCTGCATGATAGACAGATCTAGGCCACGTCATTTGATAGGCTTAGTGCTTTTGTTTTGTTAATACTGTGGTTAATAGGCACTAGACTAGACCTATTGTTGCGTTCAATCATGATCACTTTTGTATTGCTATAACACATTGAAATTAAAATTACCATCATATCACTGCAGGATTCTCTAATTTATCAGAGAAAAATAGAGGATATGGCCTACAACCGTCATGCTGGACTGAGTTCTGACTGATGTTCGCACATTTGTCCCTTAGTCGCCTTAATATAACTAAGTATTTTGTAGAGACCCGGGACCTCAACACGTCTAATATGTCCAACCTCTCTTATTATTACAGAATTATAGACAAACAAACTTAGATTACATAATAGAAAATAAAAACAATAAATAAAACCTTATCACCGAAAGCATCACAGTTACGGACGGTTACCTAAATTATACAATAAGAAAACCTTTACCTACACTTAAAATCCAATTAACCTCATTTTAAGTTAAGCTATTTTAGCAAGTACGCTCATTCATGTTTAACATTTAAGAAAACAATGCCTGGAACCAGTTCACAAAGTTCAAGAGTCAGTTACGTCAACATCACTGGACACGATAATTTCATATATAGCCTGACCAGGAACATAAAAACCCTGGCATAGTGGCGCGTCAATTGCATTTGATAGTGCAACACTGAGTACAGTCGTACCTGTGTTAAAATAATAGGCTAACTTTATGTATCAGGATTACGGGCTAATTTGATATTTTCATAAATTAACGAAAAAATATTATTATAGGTAACCTGATTTAAATAAATTAAATGAAACCATCAATCGAGCTAGTAGAATTTATTTTATTATTCATCAATAATCAAATTCAGAACTTGAATATTCAACTGCAATGTCTGCTCATGAACGCTTCAAACTCGGTACTTCTTTCTCAATCCCATAAAATTCAACACTTAGAAAGTGACAAAAAAATTTAAAATAGGTAGTTGAAACAACAACCACAGCTAATTTTCATAGTAGACTGTACTATACGATAAACATGTCAGTCAATTTGACAACCTTTGTCGGAAACATTATTCAATGAAAATATTGTCCAAACCCTTAGTATTTCTCTTCGACAAATACTTTAACACATTGTGAACCACTTTTCTTTCACGACTATAAAAATATTTTAGCAATTTAATTCATAAAACCAATTGCGCACATTTAAAATAAAGTTTGTTTACACTTTGACAGCAATAGACTGACATGCAAGGTGACATGTCAATGAAGTTTTCAGTTACTGTTGCCATTAAAAGAAATTAGTACCATTAGTTTTCCGCAACATGGCGAGGGTTTTTATGTTCCTGGTCAGGCTATAAATTATACGACTTACAGAAGATATGAAAGCTTCATGAGTAATTTCACTCATCTTTTCAGCATCTACCTTAATTTAGCAGGCCTGTTCATCTCCGCGAGTTTACATCGAAAACAAAACACGCACGATTGCCCCCTACAAGAGTACTATTCGACAAGGCCTCACATACGAGCGAACATTGACTCACGCACGCGTATTCTTGTGTATGATGGAAAAAAATAAAGAAAATGGTGTACTAAATACTGTGCAGTATTTAACTGCCTAAATAATAATAAAAACTAGTGTCCGACCGAAGCTTCGGCTTCGGCTTCGGCTTCGGCCACCTTCGGCCAAAAAGTCCACCTTCGGCAAAACATTCGGCTTCGGCCCAAAGCCCGGCCGAAGCCGAAGGTTTCGCCGAAGGTCCGAGCGACTGCCGAGATTAAACGAACTGTTACGAATGTCATGAGGCAGCGGGGAGTCACTGTCAAAATATCACATTGCATGCATCAAAACAAGTTCGTACGTGTTTTTAAACGAGTGTTTTGTTTTGAATTTGTGCTTATCTTTTAAATTGTGATAGACTAGTGTTGATTTACAAGTGAACAAGTGAAAAGGACAATCCTCACGTAAGTATTTGTTTAGTATTTAGTAAGAAATCAATAGGTACCTATTTTGTATAGGTACGGTAGTTATTATGAGTTAATAGAAATTTTCTATTAGTAACGACTTAATGATATACATATTTAGTAAATGAATGAATTAGGATCGTTCATGTTTTTCTCATTAATGTTCTGAGTTTTTATTTTAGAACTTAATATCATTTCTAGTGTATATTAGGTTTATTACACTTAAAAACTTAGGTACTTACACACGCGATATCCTCCGTGTTTAGGGCTTTGGAGGAGCTGATATTTAACATAGGTTTGGATTTGTATGTTATACTCTCATAGGTAATTATTATAATTTCTATTGGATATAGTTTGTTAGGAAATGTTTATTTTGTTGTTAGAATCATTTCATAGTTCCAAATTAATAAATTGGATTTCCAATTTAAAATTAGCTGTATAAAGACTAGGTATTTACTGTTTGAGTTTTAATTTATTGTCGTATTCATATTGTATATGCAGTGTTGGGCTTAGTTTGGAGCTTAATGAATGTAGTTGAAGAAACAAATAGGTATTTATTATATTTTTTTATTATTTCAGGTACGTGATGGCATCTACGGGTCCTATATGGGAATACTTTACAAAAAACAATGATATTGATAAAGCAACTTGAAAAATATGTAACAAGTCTTTGTCTCTTGGTAGCACCTTACCAAAAAAACAAACAACAACTAATATTAAAAATCATTTGGCAAAACTTCATGAAAATGAATGGGCAGCTTATTATAAGAAAAATGAAATGAAAATTATAAGAATATAAACCTTCGGCTTCGGCCGAAGGTCGTGGCCATAGCCGATTAATCGGCTTCGGCTTCGGCTTCGGCCAAAAATACACCTTCGGTCGGACACTAATAAAAACACAGAATGTACTTTTTTAAGTTGCCTCAAGACACTGAGAGGTAAATAAGTAGTTAATATTATTCATGATAATTCATGTTAAATCATGTATTTCCTCCGCCATTTTCTGCAGATTGGCACCTCACGTCACATCATTTTACCGAAGTCAGCCCTATAGCTTCGGCGCAGTACCGATCACTGACGTTTGTCAACAAAACTTCTGACAAACTTGCTTGACTCTTGAGACAAGCTAAATTACACCATATTGTTAATGACATTGAGCATACATTTTTTTAAATACCTTCGCGAAGTAAAACTTCTGTACGTAGTACTTATTATTATTCTGTGGTTTAAGGTACAAGATGGGTTAATAATACCAATTACCGCTACTACTTAACTGATCTTACTTTAGTAGAGCCGTTTTACTTAACGCAAATTAAGCAGCCTTAATTTAAATAACCAAAGCAGTTAATTACAAAAAAGCTTAAATGAGGCTTAACGATCAAAGAACAACGTGTTTTAGCTTGTTTAAGTCGAATTATCATAATCAAAACATTTGAATTCGCACAATCTTCAACAATAGCGATGCTACAATTTTCATTTAAAATTATGATTATGTAACGGCCATGTTAATGTCGGTAAGTTGCAAATATCTATAGTTTAGTGCCGGAACTTCCTATTGTTGCGCAAGAGTTCAAAACATTATGTTTCTCGCATCATTTTTAATACACGCCGTGAGATCATTATCTTGCATGAACTCTCTAGTGTCACCATACCAATTTGAACCCCATGATTCGAATAAGTAGTGCTTTAAAGAAACTCTATTAAAACTACATAAGTATTTTATTTTCTGTACACTGTAATATGGGCCATTTCTGAGAAGAAACAGCGCAAAAAACTCGGTCACTTTAACAATAATTAATAATACCGAAAAGTGATAGCTTTTATTCAACCTTGAACCACTTTTTAAAGCATTATCAGCATGAAATATGCATGGAACCTAAGTCAATATTGAAACATAAGTACCAAAAATGATATGTTACTAAAACCAACCAATAAAATTCAATGTGCATTATTTTTAATGCACATGCTATTTCGTTCGTAGTAATTGGCCTGCCTACTTAAGGCAAATATTTTATCATATACAGGCTGTAAATGTAGGCATTATAAAAACAGTTTAGTAAATTAACAACAGATTATTTTTCCCTCCTACTAGGACTTACCTCCTTATTCAATATCTTTTATCATCTCTGGCACATTGGAGACTTGGCATTATGGCATAATCTAAACCTTTCCTTACACCCTGTATACAAACGGCTGCGTAGAACATGCACATGGAAATGTTATAAACCTTGACATTTCAAATATCGTTACCAAATAACTAGCATCAAAATGTTGTAAAGTAAATCATCTCCTCTTATGCCATACCTGTGGCCGTACGTAATTTTTCTCGTAAATTATAACACTAATGTATTCGCTTTATATGCGCATTTGAATCAATTACTATTCGGGATAGTAATTTATCAGCTAATAGGTAATAAGCTGAGTAGAATTTATATTGATATTTATTGCTCGCTCACATAATTTCATATGCTTAAATTGGATTTTTTGCATTTTAAGAGATGCATCTCAAAGTAATTGAACTGATTGTTTCTGATTTCTGAATTAAACCCTCGATCTTTTGCTTGCCGGACGATGGGTCTAACCGTTAAGCTACGAAAACATTGGGAAAACCCCAAAAAAAACCATCAACCCATATGGGTACCCACCAGCGTTGCCAGTTTTTTTTTTCGCCAAGTCGGGACTTTGGTACTTTTTGAGTGAAAATAGCGGGATTCTTCCGTCAGAAGCGGGACATAGTAAAAAAACGTATATAATCAAAGGTTTTCAAATATTTATCCTTTTATTTGACTTAAAATTACGTTTACGTGACAATATATAGCAAAAGTAGCCAAAGAAAATGTATTTTAACAAAAAAATAATAATTTAAATCAGATTTACTGTATCGTTAAATTCGTCTTTAGAATAAAAAAAGAAAAAAAAAGCAAAAATCGAAATAAAAAAATCATTCTTTAGAATAATATGGCGTTTCAAACAATAGTCTGGAGAATTGAGTGTCTCTCTCCGAAAAGCGGGACAGAGCCTGTCCCGCGCGGGACGTTTAAATTCGGGACGTCCCGCCAAAATCGGGACATCTGGCAACGCTGGTACCCACCCATACACAAGCAATACGTTGCTTACTTTGGGGCTAGCTGGCGCTGTGTGAAATTGTCCAAAGATTTATGGGTGGTAGTGGTGGTACTATGAACTGGCGTTGTTTTTGTTTTCTGTGAGCCACTTGAGGCGTTTTCATGTAGGTATTTATTTTTTTTCGAAAGTACTAACTTTAAGTAACTTCTTCATCAGGTACGGCCTTACATACGAGGAGATCGAAAAGGGCCTGCCTCTCATCGACACCTCACGCACGCTGATCCGGGAGGTGTGCCCTCCCGTGTTCTCCCATGTGGAGTGCCGCGCTGGCAAGTACAGGCGTCTGGATGGACTCTGCAACAACCTGCAGCATCCTACATGGGGTGCTACTAACGCGCCTTTCCAGAGGTAAAACATAGTTACAACATTATTTGAGATGAGTTAGCAAATAACGCTTATTCTTAACACTTTCAGTCTTTAACAACGTCTTTTTCAACGTTTCAAACAGATCTTTTCTTAAAGAATGAAAAAATTTCCAAGCTTAATGCTACACAAAGTTATTTTCTTAGTGCCAAAATCTGAAAATTGTTTGAGTCGCGTCTTGAGTTGACTTTCTAAGGCTGAGTTGCACCACCTAATTTTAACGGTAACTATGACGATAACTGGTGCGTTTCGTATGGAATTTGACAGATTTTTGATATTTATCAAAGTTAAAGTAAGATGATGCAACTCAGCCTAAGTTTTTATAGCTCTCCTAAATCCTGAAAAACGTCATCTCAAGTCAGAAATCTATTGAACACTAGTTTTAGTATAATAAAGACAATGTCTTTCTCAAATTGTATATTAACTATCCTCCTTCTAGTGAGCTAACAATAATATCTAACATTGACCAGATTGATTGGACCGCTCTTCGCTGATGGCATCAACGCGCCCCGTATCTCGCACACCGGCCGCGACCTCCCTCTGTCCCGTGTGGTGTCCCGTACCATGCATCCCGACGAGGGCTTCCACGACCACGCCGGAACAGTCATGGTCATCGCCTGGGGACAGTTCATGGACCACGACTACACACTCACTGGCACCCCTCTTGGTAAGATAGACTTCCTTGTAGATACATTTTTTGACCACCAGTCTTTTACACTCAGTGCTGTCTAGTGTACCATGAATAATAATCATTATTATCTGACTGGGCCATAAAGTATTGCTCCTATAATTACGAATATAGGTTCCTTTGTCATAAATTTTACTTATCTTTTTATGAGTACTTAAGCGCTATTAGCTAAAGTGATCCTAAATGTCGCGACAGAAACATTTCGCCACTAGCAATTACACAGAGCAGTGCCTATAAATTTAACGGTTTGTCTTACACCGACTATTGTCTTGTGATTGCCAAAAGCTTTCACAACCGCAATTGATGATTGACGAGTAGACCAGACAAGTAGGTTATCATTTGCCAATAGTTATTAAGTTCGTATCGAGCAAATTGTAAATATCTACTGAATCCTGCAGACCCGGTGAACCGTAACGACCCTGAGGAGTGCTGCAAGCGGCCGCTACACCTCAAGCACCCGTATTGCAATGAGATCAGAGTGCCTGAAGACGATTACTTCTACCGCCTGTTTGGAGTGAAGTGCATTGACTTCGTGAGAGGGTTCCCTTCACCTCGTCCTGGCTGCCGTCTGGGTGAGTTTGACGTTTTCTAAAAATAGGTACTTCTTATTATATTTATAACTAGGCGTTTGGCATGAAATACTAAGTAGGCCTTGCTTTGTCAAAACAGTTGTGTGATTGGAAGGTAAAAATTGCAATTTACATAAGTAAATATGAATGATCTTGATCTCATTTTAATATTAATGTCGTTGCCAAACTACAAAATTAATATTATGTTAATGAATTTCGTACATTGTCGCACATGTTATCTTAAACATCATTAACCCTGACAGCAACCTGTAGATAGCCTTTTAAATCAACCTCTTATTACTCGCAAAAACAGTCGGCAAAGATACTGATGGCTTATGATCTCTGCAGACGAATAAATTGTGCAGCTGATGAGTAGATACTTGTTCGTAATTAAATTCAATCTTAGCAGGGTCAACCTGTTGTCAACGGCAAAGCGAATTCGATGCCTCGATGAGGTACTAGCACCTACTTACTACTTAGTTGCTTGACCGCACCGGCCGATTTGTGGTTAATTTACGAAATTTATACTCCATGAAACAACTGACATGCGAAACTGCATCTCACGGGATAGATATTTGTTTATCAGTTTCGATTGCATGTGATTGATGCAATACGGAAAGTATACAGTTTCGCCGTATTTATTTAGTTTGCAAATTTCAAGGTGACGAAGGTGTAGCTTTACAACTTAATTTTAGATGTTTATTGTGGAGGTTATATCACCATAACTGCGTCGGCGCGTAGCGATGAGTCTAGATATGCATAATTGCAGGTCAGAGCGAATCATGTGACCGGTGCCGTTGCCTTTGTGTCTTCTGCCGGTAGGTGAGAGGCGAAAGTTGCTCGTTACGTGCTGCTGACAGTGTGGGAGCATTGCGCAATCTAGTGCAAAATTGTAGAGTCGACCTTAGAAAGACAACACGCTAACCCTTTCATCTAAAGGAACTTGGTCAATACGTTACTGTTGATGTAAAATGATCGCAAATCAAAGCATTCGCTGATAAATCGCAAACACTCAACAGAGAACCGGTCTGGATGCTAAATCAGTCAAACCATTTTGGATATAATGAGAACATTCGTACACTCATAAATAATCACTACCTTCACTCTTAATAAAAATAGAGTCATTCGAATTGATTGCTTTCTAAACGTAGCTTATGATTAGTACAACTATAAACTGTTCATTTTTTGCAAACATTGCACAGTAATTTCATCGTTCAGATACGCCGTCAATCATAACATAAATCATTATCTTAGCTGTGTGCAAGATCACGTTTCCTAAACGGTTTGGCACATGTTAGTTAATCGCTAATAAAATCTTATGGTCAAATCTAATAACTAGTCAGTCATTTTGATCATACTTCATGATAAATATGATAATAATATGACTCTGTACAATATTAATGAGCAAACCGACGAACTTAGTTGCTCTACGTTACTCAATAAAGATACTAAGTTCGAAGACAGATCACTTGAGAAAATCGCAATTCGTCACAATCAAGCTTATGCAAACAAGGCATTAAAAAATCATTTACTGTGAATAATCTGGCTTATAACCGTCGTCACCGCAAACGTTCAATTTATATTATCTGGCTCAGTAGAGCAACTTAGTAGAGCCGATAAAACGGCTGACATTAACTCGAAGTGAGGTGTAATGGACGAATTAGGCGTCCCAGGCCGAAGGCTACCGCTCACAGGATGACTAAATGAATGACATTTAATACCCACCACATAATTACGCAGCTTAATGCAATTTAGTTAAAGCGAGCCACTAGTCAACGTCCACATGAGTGGGTAATAACATTTCATTGGATAATTACACGCTACTGATATGTATCCACTATGAGCATTAGTGGACATGTTAATACCATGCCTTATCACATTTTAGGATCGAGAGTTCCGTTCAATACGTTGACTGGAGCCATAGACGGAAACACTGTCTACGGTGTCACTGACAAGTTTGCAAGGTAACGAATTAGTTAATGTAACGCTCGCCTCTTCCTTGTGGAAGAGGAAACGGCGGCCCTTAAATTTTCGTAGAGCTATGGTGCTTTTTGTATGTAACATTCAGGTAAGTAGAATTAATTGCTGCTCGTCATATAAAAATTGTTGCTTGTCCACTTATAACCGGCCCAGAATCACCGCACACGACGCAACATGCACCGGACGGACGTCATAAATTTAAGATGTTGCTGTTACAGGAAGCTGCGTACTGGTTACGGAGGTCTGCTCCGCATGAACCCAGTTTTCAAGGAATACGGGCTTCGGGACCTTCTGCCTTTGAAGCTTGATATCCCTGATGAGGGCTGCACTAGACCCAACAAGAATATGTACTGCTTCGAAGCGGGTTAGTATTTAGACAATTACAACACACTACATGGCTACAATCATAGGTACTTTTAAACAAAATTGGACACATAGAGTTCAAGTGTAGTAATAGAATCGCATCGTATATTTTAGAATGCGATTATCTAATAAAAGAACCTTACAGAAAATACCTTGTGCATATTTCCTCGATGGAACAACTATGCACCTAGTAAAACATAAATTCCTATCAACGCTGCTTATGAAATAAATGAGCATAACACCGGGGTGTTATGTTCTTCAAACGGATACAATTAGCAGTTTAGAAGCTTACCTAGACACATTGCTGAAATTATTTGCTCTTACTTAACGGAAATTATGTTTTAGGAGAGATTCGAGTGAACGAGCAACTGGTTCTGACTGTGATGCACACATTGATGGCGAGAGAGCACAACCGAGTGGCCAAGGCTTTGGCTGAGGTCAACCCTCACTGGGACGATGAGACCCTGTACCAGGAAGCCAGACGCATCAACATTGCCGAAATCCAGCATATCACTTACAACGAGTTCTTGCCCATTCTGCTCGGAAAAGATGTTATGGAGAAATTCGGACTGGTTCTTGAGAAAGAAGTAAGTTATCAATCTAATTGTAATAATAACACATTTGAATTTGAATGCGAATGCGTAGGTAGGGGTATATCATTTTTCATTTTTTCCTTTTGTATCATCGATTGGAACGATTTGCCAATAGTTCCCATTATTGCTTTTGCGATTTCTACAGCGTAATTTCGTAACCCAACATTAAGTTACAGCAAAACTATAAACGTTTGATTAGAGCGCAAATCGAGTTTTATTCAACTTGTTTGGATGAAATTGGTTTGCATTGCACGTAACATCGAGAATGTGAATTTGACGCAATATAATGAGAAGCTATCGATTGGAGCAAATATAGACTCGACAATATTAAGGATACCATTCATATTTTAGGGTTACTGGAATGGCTACGATCCTGAAGTGAACCCTGACGTCATAGCGTCCTTCGCTGCTGCTGCCTACCGATTCGGTCACTCGCTGCTACCCACCGCGGTTGAAAGGTGGTCCAAGGCACACAAGTTCATCGGTAAGGCTTCTTATTATAAGTATAACCTATAATAAGGTCAAAAGTTAAACCTGTATTGAACTGGATATTCTTGAGATACTTATTATTTCGTCCACAGTGTTACTACACGATTTTTTCAAAATTAAAACTTCCTTTTACGATTTCAGCGTCTAAGAGGTTGTCAGACCTCATCAGAAGGCCATACGATTTATACCGAGCTGGAGTTCTGGACGAGTATGTCATGGGTCTGATGAACCAAGTAGCCCAAGCTATGGACGACTCCATCACCCAGGAAGTTACGAACCACCTCTTCAAGAAGGTTGGAGCAAGATTCGGAATGGACTTGGTATCTTTCAACATGCAGAGAGGCCGTGAGTTCGGTCTGCCAGGCTACATGGAGTTCAGGAAGTTCTGTGGACTTCCCGGAGCCGAAAGCTTCCAGGATCTATTCGGGACCATGTCCAACGAAACAGTGCGCAAATACGAGTCTATATTCGAGCACCCAATTGATGTAGACTTGTGGTCTGGTGGTGTTTCTGAACGCCCACTCCCTGGATCCATGTTGGGACCCACATTCGCTTGCATCATCGCTACACAGTTCTCTTATTCGAGAAGAGGAGACAGATTCTGGTAAGAAACGATAGGCTAGTTTCCTATAAAATAACTTTTCGTCCGTCAATTACATACATTATCAAAGAAGATTGGACACGTATATTTTTAGGTATTTGTCAATCAAACAAGTAAATACGAAGTTATGATGCGTTGAAGTTCCGCGTGAAGTCATAGTGTGTCTATTTTTAAGCACGCCTTGACGTCACGGGTCTCTTCTTTTGAACTTTGGGGCGCTTTACATATCACTTTAAATTTTCAGTAGTATGAAAAAGTGAAAAATACATGTCGTGTATTTTTTGATAAGTTAAGCGACGGATTAATTCAACTCTTACCTTTTTACCCAGGAAACATCCCTATTCTGATAGAGTTGAATCAATCTAAATTATATTTACCAAAGTTCTTTGTTGATATGCTTCAATCTAAATGATATCTACCATCGTTCTTTGTAGTGATACTTTTTACAAAAATAACCTTTATGTATGTTGTAATTAGGTATGAACTCCCCAACCAACCCTCAACGTTCACGCCAGAACAGCTGACTGAGATCAGGAAGGCGCGACTCGCTCGCGTCATTTGCGACAACACCGACATCATCGATACCGTCCAACTGTACCCGATGGTGCTGCCTGACCATGAGCTGTAAGTTGCAATTACAAAGTACAAACTATACAAGTAATGCTACCAAACAATCCTCGACCTTTACAGATCAGTTTAGGTAACAAGTGAAAAGGCCCAGCAATTTCTATCGGAAAGAAAAGTTCACAAAGATCAATTAGAATCGACCACCACGTAATCTATAACACCACCTTTTATTTTTACCTATTTCTTACTTTATCCTACTAATATTATAAAAGCGAAAGTTTGTGTGGATGATTGTTACTCTTTCACGCAAAAACTACGGATTTTGATGAAACTTTACAGTATTATTGTTTATAACCCAGAATAACATAAATAGGCTAATTTATGACGGTCTGTGACAAACTAAATTTCACGCGGGTAAAACCGCGGGAAAAAGCTAGTTTGTTACTATATTTACAAATTAAACTAAAATAAGAAGCTGGAGCTAGAGCGCAGGGCCGGTCGTTGTGGAAATCCTTGGGGAGGCCTTTGTCCAGCAGTGGACGTCATTTGGCTGAAACGAAGAAGCTAGAAAGACGTCATCACGAAATCCCACACTACAACAAAATGAGCTCTTATAACATCATACACTGGTCATCATAAAAATCGACCCACCCGCGACAAGCACTTTCAAACGTATGCATCCCCACTTCCCACCAATATTACTATACTATATTACCATTTAAAAGCCTAGTTCTAAACTTCATTTCATTAAAGGAAAGGTTTTTACCCCAAAAATGTGTCTGTAGAAGAATCCAGTCACTTCTTCAAAAAATAGGTAGTTACGCTTGAGCCAACTTTTATGGCTATAAAACTGTTAAGTTGGGATTAATCGCTATCCATCTGTTAAAGAGGACACGTGAGATCATTATTTGGTTTTATAACCATAAAAATTGGTCTAATTGATCCCAGAGGTGAGCCCAAAGAGAGGTCTTTTTTCAAGTTTTTCAAGTCACATTTATTGTATATGTTAATCGTTTATTAGGAAATTAAATGTCTTTAAGGATATTTATTGGGCTTTCAAATAACACCAATATTGTTGGGGCACCATGATTGTGTCAGTAGAAACGAGTTTTCCTGTAAAACGTAGGTGGGCCGATTTTTGTGATGACCAGTGTATTTTGTTATCGTTCTTGCCATTGTGATTATTTAAAGAATTTCTAGCGTTATAACTTTACTTTCCATTCCAGAAACCCTCGCGTACCGTGCCGAAGCGGTATCATACCCGCAATGGACTTCACGAAATGGGCGGAGCCCGCGCCCTTCCAAGGGGCTGCCAAGCAGTTCGTGAGTAGCTTCACTTACGACCCATATATCGGCAAAAAGTAGTACACGCACCTATGTAGTTCGTAGAGCCCACTTGTTAGACACATTGTTGATTGATATTCAAGCTAAATAGCCTCTAATTATCTTTCCGTTTGGTTAAAGTCAGAAGAAAACAAAACACTGTCTAGGGTGGGTTGCACCACCTAATTTTGACGGTAACTATGACGATAACCGGTGAGTTTGACAGATTTTTGACGTTTGTCACAGTTAAAGTAAGATGGTGCAACCCAGCCTTAGTGTTTCATCCCACAAGGAATCTAAATAAATAGTTGTAGTTGAGCTTACAAACATCCTCTATAAAAGAGCTCATAAATCATAATCTATGCTCACGGAAAACGATCCCATATCTATTTAGCTTGAATACAAAAGTAAAATGCGTATTTTAGAATTGTTTCAGTAAAGTGGCATGTTTGCAATGTATGTAATTAGTTTTAAATGATGGTCAATTGATTGACGGAACACGTTTACAAGGCAACGAATTTACTGCGATTCCAGTGTGGATAGTCCTTTGTTATACTTAAGTTAAAGTTAGTACAGTCGCGGAAAAATTTCATCAATGTTTTTCAAGACATTTTCATTACAATCGTTACTTATTATTTGGTTAGTGTTTTCTTCCACGACTGTACTCCAAAACATCAAGTCAGAATAATGTTAAAAATAATATTACAAGTTCTGTAAGGCTAAGAACTCACGGAGTAGTTTTCAACAGAGCGTCCGCGGTTGGCGGACAATACAAAACTAATAATAACCGCAAGTTTCAGTTGTGATTGTGAACTTTTGACGGTTCGTGACAAAGCGCAGGACCAATATAACTTTAATATAGATTTTGAACAAATAAAAAAGTAGCTCAAATTGAAAATTTAAGTACAAATGTTTGAAAATCGCGGTCCCGCTACAGCGACGGACGCGGCTCCATAAGTTCTTAGCCTAACAGATTATTTATAAATAGCGTAGTATGTGTACAAATTGATGTAGATAATACGGCTTACGAAAGCCAAATAAAATATGCTTGATTGCCATAGTACTTGTAGCTTGATAGTAGCTAGTACACGTATCTGATGAAAATATGTAATTTAACGCACATTTGAATAAAGATCCACTGTGTCGTTATTTTGTTATATGTAATGTTTTAGTGGTGTTATGCATGTATGTAGTTTGAAAAATGTATTATTTATGTATTTTGACTCACTATTTTGATATTTTTTCATTGGATGTACCTTTTGGCATAGCTTTACATGATCACCTTCAAAATAATTTAGTCCTAGTCTTATAGTTGATGTTTCTGTAAAATGATTTTAAATTATTTTTATACAAGTTGCGATATTTAGTAATTCTTTAAGTATTAAAACTTAAAGTGCTTACTTCTTACATCACGATTAAGTATCAGTTTAATATCATAATATCACACAATCTATCACAGTTCCACTACTGCACAATAAATATTAGTAAGCACATTATATATTTTTGTTACCTTCATTTGTTTTTATACTTCAATGTATCTTACAAAAGATACTATAGGTATCTTTTGCTTCATACGTTACTGGTTTTTATTTATAGTTCAGCAACATTGTAGATTGTATGCAAGCAGGTATAGAAATGCACGAGAAATAGTATTATGTAAATACAATAAAAATAGTTTCGTAATTACATGTTGTTTCATTATTTACTTAGAAAAGATTGGCGTAGAGGTTAATTTGCTTTGTATTACCACTGATTTAATTAAGGTAAGTTTATACACAAAAATATTTAAGTAAATATTAAACCAATGGCAGTAATTTCACTAAATTGTATTTATTATTCGCAGATCACGGACGCTGTCATTTTCAATAAAAATGAAACTGGTTGCATTAGTGAATCCTCGAACAACACCAATAAAACCGAGTCAGGGCAAGAAAAACAAGACTCAACTCAAAATGATAATAACTGCAACATCACCAACGAGTTTAAACCCACACAAAGCGCTAATCTGATTACTTTGGATATTTCCGCTAACATTTCTTCAAATAACACACCCACCAAAGCTGCTCAGGACTGCGGAGATAATGGTGACATTTTATCTGAAGAATGCCACAACAAATTAAAAGCTACGAATGAAATACCTAATCCTGATACCGTACTAAAGTACGTGTACAAGAAAAATGATAAAATTGTAAATGAAAAACCCAAAGGCCATCCTTTGAATAGTGTTCGAAGGAAAAGATCTACCGATATCAAAAACAATGCTGAAAACATAACAGCCGACGCGAGTCTGAAGGCGCCAATCATTGTTGATTACGAAACTGCCCACGCTCCAAGAGGAAGAGAAGTTGAGCAACTTCTGCCAGTACACCATCGGGTTACGGATAACACAATCAAAAACTCTGCATTAGCGGATTTTAATATCGAGACTTTGCATGGTAACAATCAAACTCCCAAAAACGATAATCTCAATAAAGATAGCTCGTCATCACAATCAGAAGAAGATAAAGAAAGCTCAGAAAACAAAAACTACAGTCGGTCAGACAGCCGCGAAAGCTCCGAAAGTGATTATCTTAGAGATAGTGGAAATTCTGAAAAACAAACCAAAAAGAGTAGTGAAAGTGATGAAAGTGGAGAAAAAGAAGAATATAGAAAAAGCGCCGAAGACAGCAGAGAGGTCACTGATGACGACAGGCCGGCGCCTCAAAAGGAAAAGAGCGCATTTACAAAATACCAGCCTCATCCACAAAGCTTCGAAAATTATGAAAGTAAGGAATACCCGACACGAAATAAAGCAGAGTTCTCAACGCCACAAAATGAAAAATACGAAAACAATGAAAAATACAATTCTAAAAGCACAGAAAACAGTGGCAGTAGCGAAAGTAGTGAAAGCTCTGCCCAAGATACAGATCCCAAGAAGTCCTCTTACAAAGAACGGGAAGATGACAGTAGAGAAAGCAGTGAGAAAGAGAAATATCGACACAATGATTCTAGTCGAGAGCAACATTCTAATGAAAAACCTGATTCTAAAGATGCATACAAATATCCAGACGATTCGAGCCAGTCAAGAGAAAACAGCAATGAAAGTAATAATGATGGTGACTCTCCTACTAATGACCGACTCTCGAATAAAGACTACATACAAGGACGTGAAATTAATTTAAGCACACCGCGTACTATTCAAGACGTGGACTTAGACGATTTTAGTTATGAAAGAGTTAAGGTCGACGATAAAGGTAAAATTTTACCAACCACAGATCACGATGATCCTGACTCTCCAGCACCTAAGCCGTTAGTTACTCCTGATACGGATCAAAATCTATTAACTGGATCTTTGTCACTAAGCAACGAAGAACAGATCAGTGGTGGACTTTTTGATAATGCCAAACCTGTTCATATAAACGACGGAGAAGTGAAACCTGTTGTAGAAATTAACAGTGAAAACAATGAAGGCGAATCCTTTGACGAGAACAGCAAAGAAGCATTGAAGACCAATCCAGATAAAGATGCGAGCTTAGAAACTATTCTTGGTACAAGTATCAATGATGCCGAAGAGCAAAATGAAAAAATTGTACAGAATAAAGAGCCGGAAGAAAAGGCAGACGTCAAGCAACAATTTGAAAGAATACCCTTAAATTATAAACATGAAAATAAGCAAGAAGAAAGCGATAAGAGTTCTGAGAATGATTCCAAAAACAATCCCCAAGAGGAAAATGCAAACGAAGAAAATCAAGGCACGTTAGATATATTTTCTCCTAAAGATGTAAGTTATGATGAACATCTTAAATTCAAATTTGACGATATTGCCATAAAACTACCAGAAATAAAATTACCGGAGGACATTTTGGCGTATACTTATGAAGAACCGTCGTATGAGAAAAAGAAAGACAAATATGAAAAAAGAAAACACAAAAAACCAAAGTTTTACCACTACAGTGACGAAGTGTCAGAAGAGACTCCACGCGATGAGAAAAAGAGTCGACACAGCGACGATGACAATGAACGCGATTATTACGGCCATTCATATGATAAACAGAATCTCAAAAAGAAAGACGATGATGAAGATGATGAGGATTTATACGAAAAATTTGTTAGAGAAAGGTTCGGCAAACGAGGTTCGTTTGAGAAGCGGTCGGAAAAGCTGGAGGCTGCTAGAGATCTGCCCTACAACCCGGAACTGTATCAGAGAGTCCAGAACATTCTGAAGAAGTCGGCGCAAATTGACAAGCAGGCACAAAAGAGCGGCGATCCCAACGCCGGATACGCGTGGACACTGGAGTATGGTGAGAATTTGAAGTAAAAGGACGATCTTAAGAAAAGTTATCATATGATTTTGTGAAGAAATAATTATACTCATAGTAATTTAAATCTACTAGTAAGTATAGCCTTTCATATGCTATGGCAAATAATGCAGAAACTACAGGTTTCTGAAAGAAAGAAAACGAAAAAAATTATATTCTAAACATTAAATTACGTATTCAAATATTTAACATACCGTTTAAGATGTGTAAAATGGTGTTTGTAATAATTGTAATTTAGTTATTTAGTAATGAGGTGTAAATTTAATTTTAGCATTTACTTGAATAATTAATTGTTATTTATTTATTAAATTGTAAATTTTCTAAGAGTTGTTTTATTAAGGACCTTTTCTACCTTTTAATATCATAATCACGAACGCATAGGAATACTGCATCAAAGTAAAAGTAATGTAAATTATTTAAATCACCCTCTTTATTCAGCCATTTCAAAATACAAAGCACATATTTGATGGCACTAAAAATATTGCTTAAAGTATACTAAGTAATAATGAAAAGTTTATAAAATAATAATACCAATTACCATGTAATGTCATAAAATATGAATGAATCATTTTAACTTAGATTTTAATTAGTATTGATCAACTAATGAAATTAAATAAAGGTGATTACAATCAATAACTGAGATATGTAATGCAAAATGGAATGTTTCGTCTCACACTTTTCTACATAAAAATTCTTGTAAAATAGATTTACGTATGTAAAATTTGTGACTACTGTAAACTCTTCTAATACTATTTTATCACTTTCTGTGGTCCCAATAATATTCTTACTTCAATAATATCTAAATGCCGTCTTAAGTAGAGCTAATATAAATGTAAACTTTTAAAAAATAGCTTCTGTATAATATCAACAAAGTGCTTAACTAGAAGTAAATATTTTCTTTAGAAATATAGCTATCAAAAATACATAATTTAGGATTTACTGCATATCAAGTAGTAAATATAAGTATAAATATAAATGGCCACATCAATATCACTTGATTCTGCTCTGGATGCACGGCACGCTGCAGAAAGGCATCTCTTGTTTGACGACGAAGCGGCCGCTTAGTAAGCTCTTACCGCACATACGGCCGGAGCAAATGAAGCATTCCGCGTGCCAGTGAGTGTTGCTCCAAGACACGCCCTGTTGCTCCGGTCCAATAACACCTCCACAGGCCCGGCACCGCTCTGCGTGAAACTGGTCGTAGCAAGACAGGCATATGGGCAACCCAGTCTTGTCATCGGGCACGTACTTCTGACCGCCCAAAGGAGCGTCGCAATGGTAGCAGCAAAAGTGCTGAACGTGGAACGCTCGCCCCTCCGCCGCCGTGTAAGGACGCGTGAATATCAACTCGTCGCAACCCGCACAGCGAGGGATATCGAGCACATTCGCCAAATCTCTCGCGCAATAGATCTCTCCTTTGTAGAAGAAGTACACGAGATCGGCCAGAAGTTCGCCGCATTTGCTGCAAGTGAAGCACTGAGGGTGCCATATGGCCTCCTGGCCTGCTCGCTCGGCTTTGACCGCGACCTCTCCGGCGAACATTGCCTTCTGGCAACGCTGGCATGGAACCCCCTCGTTGTATAGCTTTCTATTGAACTCCAGCTCTGCCGGGTTAAGCGACATGTCAGAAAGTTGATCGATGATCGGGTTTAATTCTCCGTATGAGGATCCCTGAGGAGCATAGTATTCATTGTTATCGTCGCTTTGGGCGTTATCGAGAGGCTGATTGTTCCATTCGTTGCCCGCTGCGTTCGGAGGTAAAGCGCCAGGATAAGTATTATAGTTGGGCAATGGCGGAGGTGGAAGATCTTCCTCAGAGTGACTTCGGAGATAATCTCTCAGAGGCGCCGTTTGTTGAGGTTCCACTTGATTCATAGGCTTACTGCTCGTGGAATACTGTGGACTTATCTTCGTGGAACAAATAGTTCCGCTCAGTTCTGGAGTGGTAGGTTCATGTTTCCAACTCCAAATCTCACCATTCGGAGCGAATATCGTCCCTTTCTGTATCCTACTATCGACAAGCTTAGCATTACCCATAACATTGTTATTGCTTGTTGACCACAAATCGGGCATAATCTGGGCTCCCAGGGCTTTATGGGCAAATTCGTTCGTTTCATCTCTGAACTGCGCGTTTTTATTGTATTCGTCTCGGAAAAGTTTGATCGGTTGCAAATACACGTCATTAGTTACTGGCATATTCAAATCGTTTAGGTTTTTGAATAGTTTATCGTATACCGGTCCGTGTTCCACGGCACTCTTGATCCTATCGGACTCGATACGCATGATATGAAGTTTGTCTTTGACAATACGGCTCAATATCGGACTCGCTTTGTAATCGGGCAAGTTAGCCGCACTGCTGACAATATTACCCTGTGTGTCCAAAACAAGTTTCTTATCGGACGCGTTTTTAGGAACTATATTGTACTTGACGCCTCTAGACACGTTCGATATTTTCAGTGGGAGAGCATACGATTTTGGTGCAGCATGCGTCTTGCTGTTTTCAACTGAATAAATCTCTCCACTTTGAAGAGGTCCGACTCTAACTACGTTACCCATACCAACCACGTGGTCTTTGATGCGCGTGATGTATTCCTGAAAATACAAAGAATATAATTATTTCATGCTCCAACTTTGAAAGAAAAAAACACTTCTATAAAAAATCAAACGACATGGCTCTGTAAATGATGGGTCCCGTTTTTCCGAGTCGCGACACAAAATCAATATTCGAAACTCAAACACACTCCAAAACGACTACGTCCGACCCGAACCCGTGAAAATATGTCTGGAGTAGTCATAGAACTGATTGTTTTGTAGTTTACGCACTAGATCCGTTTTCTAGAAGTTTTCTAGATACATACATACTCTTTGACTACTTTGAAATTTGGATCGGATTCGGATTGGACGTAGTGCGAAACCGCTCTTATAAGGTGTTCCTCGTTCTATAACCACTGTAGATGCAGTAAGTAGACCCAGCAATACATACCGTGTGCTCCGACTTCTCCTGGTCGGAAGCGTGGTGTCGTGCAGCGGGCGCTACGTCGTGCGGAGGCAGCTGGGTGCGAAGCTGCGCGCGACGTTTGCGAGCCGCTTCCGATCCGGATACGGGCGCTAGCGGGCCGAGACATGACATGTACTCTGACACCTGAGAAGTAATACAATTACTAGTATTACTAGTAGTTATTTAACAAACAACATCACAAGTAGGAATCAATAAAAGTATAGCCTGACCAGGAACATAAAAACCCTGGCATAGAGGCGCGTCAATTGCATTTGATAGTGCAACACTGAGTACAGTCGTACCTGTGTTAAATTAATAGGCTAACTTTATGTATCAGGATTCAGGATTACGGGCTAATTTGATATTTTCATAAATTAACGAAAAAATATTATTATAGGTAAAAATGGTTTAAATAAATTAAATGAAACCATCAATCGAGCTAGTAGGATTTATTTTATTATTCATCAATAATCAAATTCAGAACTTGAATATTCAACTGCAATGTTTGCTCATGAACGCTTCAAACTCGGTACTTCTTTCGCAATTCCATAAAATTCAACACTTAGAAAGTGAATTTTTTTTTTAAAATAGGTAGTTGAAACAAACCACAGCTAATTTTCATAGTGGACTGTACTATGCGATAAACATGTCAGTCAATTTGACAACCTTTGTCGGAAACATTATTCAATGAAAATATTGTCCGAACCCTTAGTATTTCTCTTCGACAAATACTTTAACACATTGTGAACCACTTTTCTTTCACGACTATAAAAATATTTTAGCAATTCAATTAACTAAATCAATTGTGCACATTTAAAATAAAGTTTGTTTACACCTTGACAGCAATAGACTGACATGCAAGGTGACATGTCAATGAAGTTTTCAGTTACTGTTGCCATTAAAAGAAATTAGTACCATTAGTTTTCCGCAACATGGCGAGGGTTTTTATGTTCCTGGTCAGGCTATAATGGCTAACATGAATAAGGTCTAGTTCAGACAGCGGAATCCGCGCGGTTACTGGACAGTTCTCTGACAGTTTGCATCGAAACGTAACCGCGCGGTTACCGCCTCAGTGCCTCGCCAATGAGAACCACCCACAACCTGATTACCTCGCGTGTCTGAACAAGGCCTTAGACAATTCATATTCAAAGCACAAAAACAATTTGGTGGAAAAAAAAGAAAAATACAAAAAAAGGATTAGGTTGTGAACAATGTATGATATTTTAAATGTCATCAATTTTAAAACAGATTGTCATCACTTAATTACTTAGATAAGCATTCATATCTAATCATTTTACACCAATGTAAAACAAGTGATTCAAATCAGGGGGTAAAATAATGACATACCTATCATTCAGATAAGATTCAATGATAAGTAGGGCCTAATTTAAAGCTAAAATTTTACATGGGCATATTATTATAAAATACATTACTATTTGTGTTAAATAAGTAATCTGTAGCAAGCACACAAGCTATGAACAAATTATAATGATTAATATCGAACAGTAAATAATAATAGTTATTAAAATTTTAAATGTCTAAAAAACATACCAACTCTGTGGAAGCATTTGGAGGAACCCAATCGAGTTTCACGGGCTTGTCAGTGACTCCTCTAATTTTGATCAGGGGCACTAAAAACATAAATAACATACTTTTGTTAATAATCCCATTAGGCCTCAGCCTCGAATTTAGCGAGCAGCGGCGCGGGAGCGGCGGCGGCGCGAGAGTGGGGCGGGCAACGCAGACTCGTTCTCCAAACAAGCGGGCAGCTTGCGCGGCACTTTAGCGGCGAAGTGTTGTTTTTATTCGCGAACGAAATGTCTGAACAACGGCGACAATTTTATTTCGATTCAAATTTATTCCTAACGCTCGATTTATTGTGGGCAAAAGAAGAAGTGAGCGCCCCTAGACTGGAGTGCGCTGCCCGCTCGTTGCCCGCTCCTGCGCCGCTGCCCGCTCCCGAGCCGCTGTTTTCGTGAACCGGTCTATTTGATTTTACGC